TTACAGTCAAAAAAGGCACTTACATTTACTCACCACGTCTTCATGTAAGAACAGACATTGTAGTTTTCACTGAAACCCTGAGCAATAAGTGTCCTTTTTATCTGTGGAAAGAAGGTTATATTGTCTTTAAACACAGACAGTCTTCTTCCTGGTCGAAGGACTGCTTGGCACGGCAAAGTCTTATCTCCTTTCCTGGTCAGAAAGGTCAGAGGAAAGAGCCTTTCTGGACTCTCCTTTGGGTGGGGAGCCAAAATTGAACATTGAGATTATTGTTGCATTAGAGGACGAAAAGCGTCTCTGTGATGAAGACGAGGACAGGTCCTACAGATGATCGAATCATGGAAAACAAGGACAATGACGATGACAGCGAGTCAACGATTGGGGGGACAGCGAGCAGCGACAACAGTAACTGTGCAATTAATAATAGCTTAATTATAAAACTAATAATCAATAACAATAATATCAGGTGATTTTAGCAATGGTAGTCAAGCAGGACCATGGCAGGAGGCCTCCACCAGGGATCCCATGAGAACCGTGTGAGACGGATAAAGCACAAGAACTCCGGGGAAGAAGTGAAGTTAGTTCAACTTGCAGTTAATGGACATGGATGGAGGTTGCGGAAAGAGATGAGGAGAGGGAAGAGAGGGAGCTCAGTGGCACCATGGAGATCCCGGATAGTCTTAGGCCTATAGCAGGCAGTAAACTAAGGGATGGTTTCAGGACTCACCTGATCCAGGCCTAACACTAAACGCTTTAATCAAAGGAGGAATGTCCTTAAGCCTACTCTTAAATGTGGAGAGGGTGTCTGCTCCCGCAACCACGACTGGAAGCTGGTTCCACCAGGAGGAGGGAAGCTTCGGTACCTGAAGGCTCTGGCTCCTGTTCTACTTTTAGAAGACTATAGAACACAAGTAACCCTGCATTAAGAGAACGCATGTTCTAGGAATTGGTAATAGGGTTACTATGAGCTCTTCAAGATAAGGAAGGGGCCTGACCGCATGAAGTGCCTTATTAGGTGAGGAGGAGAATTTTAAATTCTATTCTAAATTTAACAGGGAGCAGTTAAGAAGCTGAATACAGGAGAGAATGTGATCTCGTTGTTCCTGAGTTCCTGTCAGTGCACTCGTGCTGCAGCGGTTTTGAATTTGAATTGGCGTTTAATGGACTTATTAGGGCAACCTGGAGTATATACAAGAAGTTGCAGTATCCAGCCTAGACCAGTACCCAATAGCATGGATTAGTTTTCTGATTCTGTCTGGTGACAGAGTGTCTAATTTTGTAACTATTATCGTAGGAATGAAAGAAACATTTCTAGAGATCTGCTTTATGTGGGAAGTTAAATGACAAGTCCTGGATCAAAGATAACTGCCAAGATTCTAAGCGGCAGTTGGTGCTAGAGGGGCCAACGGTAAATGCCATCCTAGAGTAGCTATATTCTTGTAAGACAGTGAGTCTTTCTGAGGTCTTTTCCGGCGGCCAAGTACAAGATTTCGTTTTTTTCTGAGTTTAAAACATCAGAAAATTGCAGCTCACTCCAGGATTTTTATGTCCTTTAAGGAACAGTTTGTAATTAGGATAATTGATTAATTCATCCAGGCTTTGATTGATAGATATAACTGCGTATCTCTGGCATAGCCAATTGAAGTTAATGGAGTGGATTCCTAATAATTGTTGTAAAGGGAGCCATATTAATAAAGTTGAATAGGGCATTGGTTCCAAAGGTACAGAACCCTTGTGAAATCCCATGATTAATGTAGGTAATTTATGGGAAGATTCATCGTTAACATGAACAAACTGAGAACGATCTGACTAAATAGGACACCTACCAGGCTTGGCAATCCTTAATGCCAATTTGATGCTCAAGTCTCTGTAAAAAAGAATTTATGGTCAATGGTGTCAAATGGCAGCCACTAAGATCTGAAATAATACCAATTACGAGAGACCAAGGTCCATTGTAGAGAGCAATCAAAACGTCATTTATTAACTTTCAACCAAGAAAGCTGTCTCGTGTGGCTGTGATGAACTCTAAATCCTGACTGAAAAATCCTCAAATTAATTATTGCTATGTAGAAGTCACCAACTTTTTTGCCGACTATTTTTCTAGAATCGTTTAGAGAAGGAAGGGGAGGTATGTTAAATCGGTCTATAGTTGGCTAAACCCTGGTCAAGAGTGGCTTTTTAAGGAAGGGGTTTAATTACAGCTTTCCTTTAAAAGGACTGTGGTACTACTCTGATAATAAAAGAAATGATTGACAATTCAGTAAAGAAGTGCCATTAAGGTACAACTTCTTTAAGCGCCTAGTTGTGTGGGATTGGGATCTAACAGACAGGTTGATGGCGTTCGATGGAAGAAGTTGTTGAAGTTACACTGGTGAAAATCGATAGCCGAAAAACATTCTAAGATATATATCTGAGGTTTGGATGTAGTTAAAAAATTTCCTGATCTTGGAGAGCCTGCAATATTATTAAAGGGTATTTGGTGACTTTAATGTTTCTCTCTAATAGTATTAATTTATAAAAGAAGTTTCATAAAGTCGGTTGCTACCTTCAAAGTTATGGAGTATGTGGCTTCAATAGAGCGTGGACTCTCTGTCAGCCTGGCTACAGTGCTTGAAGAGGGAAACCTAGGGTGATTCTATTTTCTTCTAGTTAGTGGCTGGAGTAATAGCTCCTTCTGTGCATTACGGGAGGGCCTTCTATAATTCTTAAGATTCGTTTTTGCCCAAATCAGGACGCGGGACACCCTAATAATGTTCAGGATGGCGCCATGTCCTTTCTCGATTTCCTTGGTTTCTTGTTTTTAATTGACGAGTTGTGGTGGTTTGTACCACTGTTGCTAGTTCCTTATGTTTTATTAATTTTCTGTTTCTAGGATTCGAGTTACGAATCTAATTGTGATCGCGAGAAGGGCCTGCGGAGCCTGCAGCACTATTAACAAGATTATCAATTTGGGAGGGACTAAAGTTAATATAGGACTCTGTTATATTCAGATATGGCATTGAATTAAACACTGAAGGAATTCAACTTCACTGACTTTAAGTAAGGTGAAGTATGGCTGCTAGCTGCTTCTGCAGTCAGCTGCCCGCTCTTCTTTGATGGCAAAACAAACCCAAAGAGTACTGGCAGCTTCTAAAACCTCCAATGCTTCCTTGTAGTTGCCTTGACAAGCTCCACTTGGCTGCTGTATCAACATTTGCCTTAAAGATGAATATTCTTGAGTAACGAACCCTTGATGCCTAAATTACTGTCAGTATCCTATTTGGGACTGAACTAATGTTATCCTGTGAAGAGCATCATATTCAGTGGGTGAGGAAACAGCATGTAAGTAAATCTGTCTCTGACTGTCTATCCGCAGAGAAACCATCCAAGCCGCGGTGCTGGATGGAGGGCAAACTGTTGGAGGGTGGTGATGTTAAGATGAGCTGTAAGTCTGCTGATGGCTCTGATCCTATCCACTACAAATGGGAGAGGGTACTGGACAAGGGAAAATATGCTGGCAAGCTGCCTCCACTGGCCCTGATAGGTAAGTCCACTCATACACTGCAGTATGTGTCTGCCATGTATGAATACTACGAATTTTATTTTCATACAGTTACAAAGTTCAGGTACCACTTTATAAGGATACTCTGCCTATAGACAGTTTGTAGAGTATTTGTAACATTTCAATAGTGTAGTAGCTAAGATTCAACAATTGTTTTCTGATATTGCACGACTGTGGTTAAGGTATGGTTACTTTGGTGAAACAGCTGAAATGTTACAATACAAAACACATCTGTAGGTGGACTATCCAAATAGGTGTGAGCAAATTTTAAAATCTGAAAGTCCAATAACATCCAGTTTATAGAAGATCACAATATAGGTCATGAACACATCTATGTCCTGTTTTGTCTTTGTTGGTACTATTAGATTTGAAAAACCCAGAGATTGTGACGTTGAGGAACTTGACCAAGGACAGCACCGGGGTCTACAAATGCACAGCCAGCAATGATGTGGGGGAAGAGAGCTGCACAGTGGAGGTCAAGATGCACTGTGAGTAGAAAACAAAAAATCACAAAACTAAGATCTTTAGATTAAGAACAGAATGCTGCTGTCTCACAGAAATCTCACCCATAAATGATTTTCACACACACTACCTGTAGTCCTATGGTGGTGTTAATGTTTGATCAATTAACTGAAATACATTGGTGTCCCACCAATTATACTCATACTTGCAAGATAAGGCTGTAAATATTATATATTTTCATAAAAAAACAAACCACCAATGTATTAAATGGTCTCTCAACATGTTCTGACTTAGCCTTCACAAATGTATAGTTTCCTTTTTAAAAAGGCTCAGTAATGTAATGTTCCTCAAACAGAGACTTTTACTATAACCTGACAGTAGTACATGATACATATAATCTGTGAAAAAAACAGGTTCCTCTGGCTCCTCCTAGTGCTCCTAATGGCTTTTGCAAGAATCCACCGGGCCTGAACGAAAACAACCAATCAGCCAAGAAAGATAGTTGATTGTCTCATTCCCAGGGTGTCAAATTCAGACACTTTGGGACCCTGGGATAAAACTCAACAATCAATCTTCAAGCCTCCAACCCAAAGTGTCTTCATGGCTCCAATTGGTTGTTTTTGTCCAGGCCTGGTGGATTCTTGAAATGCCATAGGAGGACTAGTACGATCCAGAGGAACCTTATATTTTCAAATATTTTCTGTTTCATGTACTGTCAGAACACAGTGAAAATTTCTGCAATTTTTTTGTTATTTTTATATGAGTTACCTCCAGCAGCTTTAATTATTTATTTTCTCTATGAAGGTATTTCTCTCTTTATGCTGCTTTAACAACTGGATTGCTGCTTTAATCCCCCTCTGGGATATACATAAAGGGTTATCTTATCTTATCAATGAAGGCAGGATTTTAGAAAATAAAGCACATGCAAATTAAAGTAATTCACGTGGGATTCGATGGGAACTTTTGAAAATGTGGAAAAGTTGTAGTATTCACAGACACACATCATTTAGAATTATTTTACTCTCTAATATCATTAAAAGAATACAAAAGAAAATGTGTTTATTAATATCTCTATAATAGCTGTTTGTGTGTTTTGTAATTTCTGTGTGTTCTGTATAGATGTAAGAGGAATGGGCGTGGTAGCAGGGGCAGTGGTTGGTGTTTCATTCGGAGTCCTCCTCATCATCCTCATCATCTGGTTGGTGTTCCGCAAAAAGGAGATGAAGAAATATGAAGAAGAAGAGACCCCAAACGAAATCAGGTATTCAGTGGAGAGAAACTAAGCACACATGGTCAGAACCCCAACTTGAATTCTTACAGCCACGATAAAGAAAGGAAACTGAAAGCAGTGGCTGTCACTATATAAAGTACCATCTTCAGAAGTTAATCCTGGTCTCAGACTCCCAACTCAGTTAGCACTAATATCATCAAAGTACATTTGAAGCAGTGAACTGTAGGATACCCCCCTCTGAACCCAACAATGCTTCAGAAGTAGGAAACCAGAATTTCAAAGAGATGATTCTCTAAATGAATGTTTGAAATGCTGGCCCTATTTATTGCCACAGCTCATTTTTTTTTGTTCACTTATTAGTTGTACCGCTTTTTCATCTGAAAAACAAACGTATACGCTTAAACACTGTTTAAACTCTACAGTCTCTGCATTTCTTCATAGCCGTAGCCTGACAGTCCCCCACAGACAGCAGGTAATGTCTAATGTAATTGCTAATGTTACAATACAGGTACCACACAGAAACAATTACAAAACGACTCTGAATGTGCTTCAAGTGACCTTAAAAGCTCCAGCGGACTCTGTCAGCAGCTGCTCATGGCTGGTTAGCTTAGTTAGCTCTGAACCACTAGCTGAGCTAATGTTACAACACAAGCTCTGACTACAGCTGTATTCCGGCTACACCGAGCAGTAGTCAGTCTGTCACTCTGGTCGCTGTTGCCTCACACTGCTGTGCCACAAGCCACGCCGCCTATATGGTTTTCATGTGCAGTCCTCTGCTGCATTTTTACATTTGCTGCGTGGGAGAGAGCTAGCAGAATTTAGGCATTTAGTTTAACTTTAAGCATTCATACTGTTAGCAATTTGTAAGTGTCAGGATGAATAAGGCAGGCTGATGGGGATTTATCAATGTAGCCAGGGACAGAGAAAGAAAGAGGATTGAAAGCAAACATACACTGGTTGTCTTTCGGCTACATAGTACAAACATAACTTGAGACTTTGTATGCTTACTGGATATGGAATTTAAGAGAAATATCCACTTTACTTAAATTGAATTTGACTTTATTGGTTATTCTTTGCCCAGGCCAATTTCAGTTTCACTCTCCTGTTTGATGTTTATTTCATCTACTGATAGATAGATAGATAGATAGGTAGATAGGATAGATGATAAAAGATAGTGATAATAGATAGATAGGATCTAATAATGATAGAGACTTTATTCATAAGCTGGTAAATTTGCAGTGTATCAGCAGCAATTACACACAGTAACAACACAATGAAGTAAAGACACACAGTAACAACACTCATTGAAATCATGCATCCATGTGCTCATTTCAGGGAGGATGCAGAGGCTCCCAAAGCCAAACTGGTGAAGCCCAACTCCCTCTCCTCATCCCGCTCTGGAAGCTCTCACTCAGGCACCTCTTCCACCCAGTCCATGGTGCACAACATGGAATCCCGAGGCCAACGACCCTGTGTTCCGGCTGTGGCGGCCCTCAAGGAAAAATGCCAAGCCTCCACCTTCCCTCAGTCTCCACCTAGCTACAATCAAACAGTTCCCAAGACTACTGAACCCCGTTCTACACCCACCTCCACGTCTACCTCCAGCTCCAAGCCCAGTCCTCCACCTAAACTGAGTCCTGGGAACTTGACCCGCATGGGGGCCACTCCTGTCATGATTCCTGCCCAAACCAAGGCCTTCCAGACTGTGTAGAAGAGATGTAATCACGAAGAGAACAAGAGCAAGGCAGCCTCAGGACATGGCAACCAGCTGAACACACAAGTTGGACTTTGATAAAGATCCAGTTATATTATCTAGCTATAGTCTCATCACTCACATTCTGATGGATACTTTCAGCAACTGAACTCTGCTTTACATTAACAATATAGGGACAAGCTTCTTCTGGTGTTGTTTATTGACACGCTGTGACCTGAGCAACACTTGAAGGATGAAGGAAGTGTTTTATGGAGTGTGATTTTCAAAGGCAAGGAGGTGAAAGGAACAGGATTGCATGAACCAGGGAGTGAACAGGATGAGATGAAGTCGGAAGCATGAGCCAGACATTGGATAAAATAAGGACATTAACTTCATTATCTTTGAAGAAGACAACATACTGCTCACAGGTACAGCTGAAGAGGTTAGAGTAGTTCACAATCTTTCCTGTCTTGAACACCTTCCTACATACAATGCACCACTTTACAATGGAAGCCCTGAAAGGCAAGCAATAATTTTAAATCAATTTTGATTTGTTTTTTTCCACCTGTACAGGTTTTAAAACAAAAAAATTTCATTTTAAGAAATTATCAGTCAAAAACTTATTTTATATTTAGAAAAATGACCTGAATTTGCCATGTTTTTCTGCGAAAGCAGGTGCAGTTAAAATAAAATAGCTTGCCTATCAGGGCTTCTGTACACCTGTTGCAAATTCAAATACCCTGCACCTATAACTGAACTGATGAAAGTAGCTCTAGGTTGTTACAGTAGGTTGTTACAGTATATAAATGGGATGAATGGCTCTGATTGTATAAACAGACTTCATGTGGACATTTCATATATTCACCGGTACCTGTGTCACTCGCTGTAACATGGACATATATGATACTGAATTCTGAAAAATACTGAAAAATAGCGAACCTGTAGATGTGCACAAATTCTCATTTCCAGTAGTTTAAGTGTGGATTCATATAAGTAACTTCATGTTCATAGTATTCATTCCCGACATGTAAAGGTTTGATGAAAATTCAGAGAAGGGATTCTTTTTTGAGATTTCATTTACAGGACCTTGGAGCGCTGATATTTTTGATTGTTACGGGGTTAAGCAGAGGCCCTATTGAGAAAGTGCCACGTTGTGATGTTTTACAGTTTATTTGTTTCTTTTATCCTGTTCTGTGTATACTATACCTTTTTTTCAAAGAATGAAAAACTGTATGAATGTGATGCTAAATGAGATGTGTTACGTGCAGTGTTTTTTCTCAGCAATGTTAAAATGTTTGTTTTGAATTTAAATGAGTTGATAACTCATTGAATAACTTACACACTATAGAGAGAAAATCCTGTCACCTTATGCACTCTTGATGCATTAGAACTGTAATATATTAATAAACCCTAAAGAGTGCCTTTGGTCATATATGTACATGCCGAGTGTAATGATCAAGTATATACACATTAGGAGCATGACAGTAATCAGAGTTAATGTAGGTTTATAGGGAGAGCTCCATTTATATCTGACCTACTGCATACCAGCCATAGCCGACAGACAGACAGACAGAAAGATGCAGAGGACAGAATGAATCCTGCCCTTGTGCCTCATCTCCCATTCGGCAGAGGACAAACCTGATCCTTCTCCATTCCCCATTCTTCAATCCCATTCCTTCCCTTCAATACATAATCTGCCTCTTATCCCTTTTCCTCTTTCAACTTGTCTTGTAAGTCTCACCACCACCTCTCTTCTCCCATGACACTGTGCTTGATTCCAGTTCTGTGTGTGGTGGGGGGAGCTATGCATAGGATTGATCCAAGGATGGAGCTCTTTCATTGTTGTGTGACTAGAGATATGTACTATTCAGATTATCCGTTAATCATGGCGTGACTTAAAGCTACACTAGGTAACTTTTATAAAAGTAACTTTTGTCATATTTCGTTCTAGTGCTCATAATGGCATTTAAAAGAATCCACAGGGCCTAAACAAAAACAACCAATCAGAGTCAAGGTTTAAAAACTTCATGCCCTGGGAATGAGGCTCAACAATCAATTATCTTTCTTGATTGGTTGTTTTTGTTCAGGCCCGGTGGATTCTTACAAATGCCATTAGGAACACTAGGAGGAGCCAGAGGAACCAGATTTTTTCACAGATTATCTGTCTCGTGTACTGCCCTCAGGATATAGGAAATGTGTCAGTAAATATGACAAAAAATAAGTATTATAAAAATAGACTACTGCAGCTTTAAATCACCTGATGAACATAGCAATACTTACTGTAGGTCACTCAGTACTGCCATCCTTATTTGCTTTAGTTTATCTCTTGCTTTTACAGACTACAGTGTATGGGATCACAGATGTGTTGCAACATTCCACTATATACAGTGAAGTTTAGATTTTACATGTCCTCTTCTTGTGGATTTGCAGTCCAATCAATATTCAGAATCACAAACAAAAACAAGCCAATAAAACCCTGGGGCTTCTCCACAGGCTGTAAACTGGTAAGATAATTGCATGGACTGAACATTCACAGGTCAGCAGCAGACAGGAGCCCCTTATCATCAGATAAACTAAAGACATTTTTGTAATGAAACAGAAGTATTTTAATTCTATCTCACAGTTGGTCCCTCCAGGAAGTTGCAATACAAATTCTGCGCAACTTTGCAATTTCATCCAATCACCACAAGTCTTCCACAAATTTGTAGTTTTGTGCAAAACATTAGGTCATACATCACCCAAATAGTAGTGATTTTATTTTCACTGGAACAAGTTGCCTTTTTAATGAATTATACAAAACAAATTGCAAAAATTTTAGCAGTTTTACCTTTCATCATGCAGCCAAAATTTTCACATTTTAATTTCAATCCCCAAAAAGCCTGCAAAATCCTGGAGGGACTGGTATATCTTTTTGTCCTGAGTGACCTGACTTACCCTCACATAATTAAATGTAGAGCACTTTAGGCAACTTGTGGATGATAATAATCTCTGTGTGACAATGACAATCTGATATATTGATTTGAATGGTTGGTTCACTTAAATTGCCAAAAAAAAGATCTTGTTTTTAGGAATTGAGAAGATCTGAGCGAGACAAAAAATAGTTGTTGTTTTTTTGGATAATGTCACCTAAATTTATGTTAATTAGAGTCTGTGTATTTTTTACAAATGCGCAGTATATTCATCACTCCTAAAATATTTTTCAGAGACGGGTTTACCCAGCAGATTTTTGGATTATAACAAGCAAAATAGTATTATTATCTCTCAAGTCATAGGCCAGTCAGGACAGCAAATTTGTGTTTTTTTTCTGTTTAGGGGCCAGTATTCGCCATCAGTTCTGATGTCAAATTAGGGCCGTTGTGTCTGACCACTTCTGTCACTTTCTACACCCTGCCATGATTGGCCAGCTGTGCAAAGGTGAGAAATAGGATGGGTTTCAGTTTCTCTTCCTTTTACTGTATGGCCCTGTTTATACTTGGTAATAACATTGATCTGACCACATTTGGAGGTGAACGTATAGAGCAGGGAAGTGAGAACTGAGGTACTTAAAGCTGTCCACCTGTGATCGATCACCCAAGACACATGTTAATTCGAGGTATAAACTGGGTCTATTTCTTAGATGTGGGAGCAGAAAGATGACAACAACTGAGAGAGAGCCCCTGACTACCCAAACCAACCTCAGAATATAATTCCCCTTAAAGCCAACAGAGCGAGGTCAGGTAGATGACTGAATTCGACTCTTACAGTGTGATGCGATTCAGGGCATGATTGATTATCTTTTTGTCCACAGGGCTCAGTTGTATAGTCTGTGTGTATAGTCCTCTACTTAAGTGAAAAATTTATATTTGTACAGAAACTCAGTACTGTTTTTGTTCTTTTGTTCTTTTAAAAAAATAAAACTTTGAATGGAGATCCTGATAGACAGACAGACTTCCTTTTTTGTCACTTTAACATTCTGCTCAACTGTTTGGTAGAGCACATTTTGAGTCACTATAGCTATCCGAAAAATGTGTAGAACTCAATTGATAGAGCTATCTATGGAAGCCCATTTCTGCCAATTTGATGGGGGGAAAAAAAGATTCTCTAAATCATTACAATGAGAAACTTTCTCAAAACTTAGCATCTCAAAAGGATGACTTAGTATTACAAAGTCATTATTTTGAGATACAAAGTGAAAATATTGAGAACGTTTCTCATTATAATGACTTAAAGAATCCTTTTTTACTTTCTTCACATTGGCGGAAATAGGCTTCCATAGACATCTCTACCACTTAGGTTATGTCAGTTGTGCTAAAAAGATCCACAAGATGTCGCTATGTCTTTAAGGAGTTGGCCCTTTTCAGTTCACTTCCTTAGAGGAAGTTAGCAACAAAAAAGACAATCCAGACACCAGAAATGAGGACTTTGTTTGGTGGAATTTTCAAAGATAAGCATATATTTTTGACATATTGTAGGTTCATGGGTCTTACTGAACAGAATTATGTAACTTGATACAACAAAACAAAGTTTAATAAGAATCAAATCATTTTCTAAATACATGCTCTACCAAACAGATTGTTCTTCCATTTATAGTAAAGGTAGTGATGCTAATTAGTGTAATTGCAATTTTTTTTCTCTAAAATGGTCTGTTTGCTACAAAAAAAAAAAACTTGTGATCATTCATTGTTGTTTTCATCATATATTACAACAGAGCCAAGAAAGATAGAGACGCTTTATGTTGGAAGCTTGAAGATAATTGATTGTTGACTCTCATTCCCAGTGTCGGTATTTGATGATCTGGGAATATCTGAACTAGGGTATGAACTATGTAAAGAAATGTGTATTTAATTTTTTTGTGTGAAACTGTTGTCTTGCGCCTTGATACAGATGTATATACGGATGTCAAAACAGGCAAAGTCAAAAGTAGATAGCACCCTCTGCTGTTTAAAAAGAGTATAACCACTGTTTCTTTCCTCTTGAATAAACATTGATTGTTGTTATTATTGCCCCAAGGAAATGAAAAAAAATTAAAAGAATTCCATTGCTTTTTTGTTAGTGAGGCTTAAATAAGCACTTTGTACATCTGAAAAAGGAAATAAATAGCATTTTTGACTGCTGTTTGGTTATAATGTAGCAGCATCATCTAAATGCAGTTGGGCTTCTCAGCATGCAGGATACTGTGGCAATAAGCAATTCCCCAATGTTTTGTTTTGACCATTTCTACTGAAGTGGAAGCAACAGTCCTGTAAAGTGAAATAATCAGTCATGCTTTTATGAAGCTGCAAACAGCCATACAGCTCTTCACTGTAAGGGTTGTTTTATTTTCTGTAGGTCCACTTAATAGCCTTAGCCAGAGCTTTTAACTGCAGCTCACCATCTTCATCTGCAGATTCTACTGTGGGTGTTCTCATGACTTAAAGGGGAACTCCACCCATTTTACTTTTTAACAGTTGGGGAGTACTGCAACATATGTATGTGAAAAAAGTTGTATAACGCCCAGGCCCCTCTGCTGCTTTCACGCAGCACTGCTACTGCCAGCTCTATCTTTCTATATTGAGTTTGAAAATGGCCATCAATAATAGAATGTTTCATTTAATTTCATTATAAATTTCCTTAGTTTAGTTTAACTAAGGAAAATAAAATAAATAGTTAAATTTATTTATTTATAATTTTAAACTAAATAGTTCCTTATTTAGTTTAGATGCATATACTCAATTGTAAATTATATATATAATTATATATATACACGTCATTTTCTACAGATACAGACATTGAAAGCAGTGAAACAAAGGTGTATATGTTCCTTGTATGATGTCAGTATGACTATCAAATCATTTTCACAATTTTTTGATGTCACGGAAGAAATAGGCGATGCGGAAATTCTAGATGATGCACACGTGGGCAACAAGGGGAGTCAGGCGTTCAGGACACAGAGGGGTCCAGATTTTTTCCCATTTACAGCAGCTATATGCAATATTTTTCAAGCCAGTTGAGATCACAGAATGCCCAAAATCTGTACATCATTTGGGAAAAACATGATAATTGCCCAGGAAAAAATAATCTTGTAGAGCCTATATCCTATTTTGTATAAAATTTTTCTCCAACTGTCTTCATCAGTCTGAGACCAGAACACAACAAATGTTGAAGATGATTTTCTTATTTTTATGTTACATAACTTAGATTGGGTAGGAATTTGGTGTAAACAGTATTACTAATCTTGAAAATCTTTTCTCTTTCTTTTTTTGTTAAACTACACTGAAAAAAATTTTGAGTGTTATTTACTTGGAAAAACTTGTAATAAAAACTTTACTTGGAGAAATTGTAAGTAAATTCTACAA